GTGACTCGGCAGCAGCGCGGCACGGGGGCGGCCCCGGCGGCGCGGGGCAAAGGCAGGACACGAGGTAGGCCGCTGCTGGTATCAGTGTGACAGGGATGTTGTGCTGCTCACGGCGTGGCTCGCGAAAACCGAGGGGACTCTGGCAGACAGGTGAAAAACACTCTATACTGCAAAAGCAGCTCTCTTAACGCTTAGTTGCTTAAATCTTTAATACTTCTTATACTTGGGGAGTGGCGGGTGTCCACGTTTTCTCCTTTGTGGAAGACTTCCTGGCCCACTGTAGTTTGTAATACAGCCTTGAAAATGCTTAGTGTGTTTCAACTGATAGGAAATGATTTTAAAGAATTTCTTGTCCTTTTAGTGTATATGTTGCATGGTAAGTAGAACACTTTAGAAATAGTTCTTAAAGTAGATACAAATTTCCTATTTTTAATCTATGTATTTGTAAGTTTCAAAACCTCCAACGTTTCCTATTGATTCCCTTTTTATAAGACATTATAATTAATTACAATTTAAAATTGCATACGAGTGTGTGGTAAATCACTTGCATCTGCTAAATACCTTCCAGAAGGAAAAATATTTGGAAGCTTCCTGCAGACTGTTTTAGATAGAGATTCTGGTTCCCAGTCATTAGGATAGGGCATGCAAGGTCCACTGCAGCACAAGAAGGGGAAAGGATGTATTTACCTGGGCTTACAAGGAAATTATTTGAGCCTGAAGTTTTTATATTCTCTTCAGGTATCTACTTCATCCTGTCTTCTGGCAGCTTAGCTTGCCAGTACCGTGGGGAGTAAATGTGAATTGATATTGTAACATTTTTTCCATCAGGTAGACATAGGAAAATAGAGGAACCGTAAGCAAGGCAAAAATACACTAAAAAGCCTTTGCTTAATGTTCTTTAATACAGTACATGAAATCTTAAAAACAAGTTTAAATACGTCAGTATTCTCTTAAAGGTATTTGTCTGATGCTGTCTTAGTTCTCTAAAACAGGATTAAGAGAAAAAAAAACTGTTGATTTGCAGCTTGGACTCCTGACATGGTCATACAAAAAGGTCAAAAATTTGTGCTGGTTTTCAAGCTGTACTTTACTGTCACGTCATTAGAGGGGAAATGCTTTTTTTTCTCTCTTTAAACTAGGTAGTTTGTATAGTTCAATAGTCCTGGTAACTCTATATTGCGGCTTCTGCTTAGAAGCTGTTGGTGGAACAGTCAATCACTTCTGCTTTTGATTAGTGTCACTCTATCTGATTTGCTCTATCTACATGGCAAAAGGGAACAGAAAAAGTATTTTTAATTAACTGGAAAATCTGTGGAGTAAAAAAATTGTCAAATGGTCTGGTAAATGTGGTTAATTTAGTACTTGAGACTTTGTGGACGATTACTAGGTTGTGATTTAACAGTGGCTTGACCAGCCTTTGATCTGTATTTTAGCTTATTTAATACACATTATAAAATCTCATAAGAAGTCCCAGCAACTTCTAAAAACATGTGGTTGCGTACTAAGAGGGAAAAGCCAAAAATACTTTTTATGGAGATTACATGGAATAAATAATGTTACACAACTTTTCTTAGTGATAAAGTGGAATAAATTCTTTGTAAAGACACCTGTTGTATGGAACAAATAGAAGCAATAAAAGCAATCTCTGAAAAGGGACTATAAAGCGAATAGTTGTTACAAAAGGTACTTAATACATAGTATCTGGAAAATTTGTTCCTTTTATTTTTGTATGCTTTCATTTTGCATAGGGAAGAAAACATTTCCTATTATAACAGACTATAAATTAAAATTACTTCATTTTAGCTTTCCTTGTATCTGCCCCAGTGTCAGCAACAGCACTGTAGTACAGTATGTCATATGACTTTTTATTCTCTGAAGCTGATAGTGCAGACATCAAAAGAAATCCAGATATATCCAATTTTGTGGAATGATTTCAGTACCTTACATAGACTGCTCAAATGAGAAGTTTTTTTCTTTCTTGGTAGACTTAGTGCATGCTGCTGCCGTGGCCTTGATAATGTTACACTGATGGAATCATGCCTACAGCTGAAGAGCATTCAAGTTTGCTGAAGGTATGGTATGTTGATAATTTTTGTTGTTGATGATTATATCTCCTAAAGCAAGACTTCTAGACTTTTCCATGATCTCTGAGCTAAGGTGTACAACGACATTTACCACCAGTGGTTTGTGTTCTGCAGCTTGGAACCAGTTTTGTAGGTTGTAGAATACAGAGTTGTTAGCACTGTGTACAAACTGGGGGGCATGTTAAGAAAACAAATTAATACTTAGCAAATTTCAATAGATAAGGCTGTAGCTTCCACTATAATTTGGGGAATTAGGTTGCTTTTCTTCTGTGCAGTGGGTGATTTCAGCTGGTGCATTGTGACTGATCAATATCCTATATTACAAAGGTGGTCAACCTTCCTGACTGGAAGCCATATACCAAAATATTATGTGTTTACAAGACATAGGCCACATACTAAAGAGCGGAGTGGAAAGGAAACTCTGGGAGAGGCTCATAGATAGGATACAGTAGATATCGGTGTGGGATGGACACACATATAGAGCCAGTCAGTGATGCCAGCTCAGGAGCTCTTGCCATCTCACTTCCTTTTACCACCAATAGTTGTATTTTCTGGCAGTTCCTGGACCCCAGTTTGGGGTTATGGAGCGGCCTAGTGAGAGCAAGCCTCACTTGACTTCGTCATGTAGTACCTGCATGTTAAGCTCAGCTTTGCCTTCTCAGTAGTAGCATGATATGCCTAAAAGGCACATGTGCCTTTTAAAGGCAGGTTTCTAAATCTGAAAACTTACTGGGTGGACTAACTTTTCTTAGTGCTTGTGAGCATGTCAGTGTTCACTGTTGGGAGCTTCTCTGAGAAGAATCCAGGCTGTAGGTTCTTCTCAAGCTTACCTTACTCAGAACATTAAAAAGTAGAGACATTGATTTTTAGCTGGTAGTTATGACTGTACTTAACTGCTTTAATTCTATCTCATTTTACAGGTACCTCAGAATTGAATTCTTCTTAATACAGTGACCATACAGGATGAAAGAAAAAACGATCTTCTGTTTTTCAAATATTTGAGTTTGTTCTTTGTAACAACATGGGTTACTGTGAAAAGTGAAAGAAGAATCTTTCTGGACACTTTAAAGATAGCTGGTAGGCATAGAAAAATGTTTTGTTTGAGGCAGGTTTGCTTGTTTACACTGAGACATTACCAAGCTCGGACTCTGAGCAGTGATCTGCTTTTGAGCCAGATAAATAGCTGCACCCATGAAGATGAAGTGTTCAGCCTTGTTGGAAGGAACAAGGCCAGGCTTTCTGAAAAACATGTGGGAATTGCATTGAACGTGCTGTGGCAATTGCAAAAGAAGAAGCCACTTCTCTTAAGGACTAGTGACTATATAAGAAATCACTCCCAGTTTCTCACCCTTTGCATTTTAGCAGAAAACAAGGTGGAACACATGGAAGATGAGGCCATAGTGGACACCCTCTATAGTATTCTGAGGTAAGCAGCATTATGTTGAATTCCACATCTATAAATTTTGTGTCTGGTAATAAAAAGAGATGGAATTTTGACTACAAAGCCATCCTATAAGGAGATTGGGAGACTGCCCTGTCCCAGCTTCTGTACTCTGACTGTGTGACACAGACAACTTAACGTCCTGTGCCTCAGTTTTTGAGATGCGGGCAGAACTGATCTGTTTTGCACTCCCAGTAAATGGAGTTATGATTATTGATGCACAAATGTTTATAATCTGTTTATAACTTTTGAAGCAAACTTCAAACTATTATGTCTTCTGAAGGCTCAATGTTGAAGACCACGATTCTCTAGCAGAAGTGCTTGTCACAGAAGCATGGAAAAGATTAGAAAGGCAAGTACTGTACTGCTATGCTTTGTGAAAGGTATAAGTTGCAAGCGTGATTTGCTTCACCTGAGGCTACACAGAGTTCTCAAAGAATATTTACAAGATGTTTTAAACATTATATGAGTATTGTAGATGTCAGTTGTATTTTTGAAAGTTTTGGAAATTATTTCTATGCATATGGAGGCTTTGAGTATTGATGGACTTTGGTACACAAATGCTTGAGAGATTCAGATAATGCAACAACCGGGACCGACACTGATTTTGAAATATATCGTCTATGTAGACTTACATGTTTGAAGTAAATTGCAGGTTTTAATATTTACAGTTTTATCTTAATGCTTGCTGTCCAACTCTTAAATGGTTGTTAGAACCCTGCTAATCTCAATTTTAGTAAAAACCTTTTGTATTAAAACATCAACATTTTCCCTTTGTGCAGTTTTTTTATTGTTGTTTTTTATTGGTTTTTCTTGGGGTTGGTTTTTTTTTTATATTATAATTTTCATCCTTTAATCTCAGGTTAATGGCAGAAGCTAGTGTCAGTCTTGGCACCAGCATCACAGAATTGCCTCTCCCAGCTTAACACCTGGGGCATCTTGACAAGTAAATAAATTCAGTGTAGCTTGAACACAAAATGACATTCAGGTAATAAATTACTCATACTCATTTTAGCTATTTCACATCATTGCTTGAGAATGTAATCTTTATAGATTTCTTACGCTGGTCTGGTTAAATGAAGAACTTCTGATTTTTGTAGGGCTCCATATGCACAGTATGCTTTAATATGAAATACCTAGGTGTTTTGGCAAAGTCCAAGGTATCACTATAGGTGACCAAGTAGAAAATGCTTAGATATTTTGTTTCCTTGTTTTGTAATTTGAATATAACCTTGTCTTTTATATAATTGTTGAAGTAGATTTTTGTCTTTAGTTATTCACTAGAAATAAAAGATAACTATTCTGTGTCTTTCTTTGATGTCTTGGCAGGCTTAGTTTGCCAGCTCTGTCTAAATTCGCACTGTGTTTATACAAGCAACGCAGACATTTCAGTCCCGTAATTGGCAAAGTAGCTCATATTGTGGACATGAAACTGAATTCTATACAGGATATAAGGTAAGTGTCAGAATGAAACTGAGTAGCAGGAGAAGCAATATGTCACAATTATGGGGCTGCCTTTGCTGAACACTTTCCCTTTTTTCTCAACTGGAGGTTGCTTTTCTTCAGTTTGGGGTTTGTGGGAAAGAAGTGATTTGTATTTGTGCATTGATTTTCATGGACAGGTCTGCTTAGGTGAATGCATTTTCCCAATGATTTTGCGAAGAATTTCTCTATAGCCAATTTAAACACTTAATTAAAACTAAGATTCTACTTACAGTGGAAAACCAGCAGATATTGCTTTATCCTGATTCTAAATTTTACATGGACATTTTTGAGAATTTAGAGGCTACGGACTCACCAGAAGATGTTTTTCTTCCTTGACATTGATAGTTTCTCTACTATGACATGGATTTAGTTTACTATTGTGAATAGCATTAAGGAGTCTTAAAGCAATGTTATTTTTATTTATCTTCAGAGCATTTTTTTTTTAGTCAAGTTGAATTAATCAGTTCTCTTGCTAGCTTGTCTAGTGCATTACCCTAATATTAAAATTACTTAAAACCCAGCCTTAGTCAAAGAAGTCCAAGCTTCTTTTTGCCTCTGCTCCCCCTGGGCCGTTACAGCAAAGGCTGCTCTTCCTTTTTTCTGCTTTATACAGCACCGGCAGTCCCAACACCTATTTTTGCGCATGTGAGGAGCCTGCTTATGAAACTCATTGAATGGGACTGCATTTCTTACAGAAATTACTCTCCCTGTGGTCATGAGTTTTATTCCCTTAGGAAGGGATTCTTTCTTTAGGAGTGACAATGACTCTTCTCCCCATTCTGTCATTTGAGAATTGTTTGGGTTTCTTTAGTTTCCATTGAACATTAAAGATCTTTTTGCAAATTTGAATCAGGCAAGTCAGGGTCTTGCCTTAGGCAAACGCTTTCATCGCATACAACTTTGTAAGGGATGGTTGAAAAATCCCAATTGTTTCAGAAATTCACTGAAAGCAAAATTTTGACTTTAGTAGGAGAAATGTTTTTTGCTCATCTGGTTTTTCTGTATTAGATTTAAAATTCCTTTTTATGCAGAAGTCAGCAACACCCTGACTAACGTTCCTTTCTTTGAGTAGTTTATTTAAGAACTCTAAAATTTATTACTTACCATGTTCAATGTGTAAGTGTAAAACCTTTTGAATTTTTTAGGATCTTGTCAGTTTTGATGATCAGCATATCTGATGTTATCTCACAGAGTTTTCGAGATCGACTACTACACAAGGCTGGACAGCTCTTGGAAGAAAAGGATGAAGTCCACTTCAACTATGCCAAAAGAATACTACAGTTTCTTCAAAATGTTAAACTGAGATATCATCCATTGCTAGAAAAATGCAACAAGATTTTCCTTAAAAATGCCTGTCGTCTTGATATACACAGTATTAGTCTTATCTTTGGACTGTATGAGCAGCTGGGTTTTGACAATGCTGAATTCCGCTTAGTTGCTAAACAGCTGCTGTCTGAGACTATAGATGATTGTTATGATCCTGAAACCTTTGCAAAATTATTTTTTACTCTTGCGCCTATGGCAGGATCCAGGGTAAGAGAAAGGTAAGTTTATTAACAGTTTTGTCTTATTTATGATATATACGTAGTCTTGCACAGAAATTAAAAAGGTACCAGTGTTTGGAGGAATTTCTGAGCCTATCTGTGAGCTGAGCATTAGGTTTCCTAGTTGTAACTTTGTAGCAATGTATTACTTCATTATGGAAACACTGTCTTAGCAGTTTGTCTTAAAACAGTTGCATAGAAAGCTGGATCCAGTAATCAAGGGGTATGTGAATGCTGTTACGCGAGGCCATCTTGTAGCTCTGTCTCTTACACTACAGCTTTCCTTTCACAGTGGATGGTAGTAAAAAACTTTCTGTCTTTCCCCTGAGAAATATATAGTGATGTGTTGCTTTTTTGTTTTTAAGACTGGCAGTAGCTGAAACAGCCCGAGTCTTGTCCTATCCAGTCTGCTGTACATCCTATTCTATATGAAAGGTCATTAGCAGGGAATCCTTCAGCATTTGTTTAGCAGTTAGAGCATAGAATTGTGTGGCAGATTTTTCTCTGCCTGTTTTTCTTGTGCTACAAAATCCTATTTGGGGGTGGTATTAGTCATGGGTCTCTCAAAGTCTGCAGTTTTAAGCAGAATTTGCTGTATTAATTACAATTAGTCATATTTTCAGACTTTTCTTCATGAACATTTGCCTCTATTCAGAGATCTGGATATACTGCAAGCCTGTGTTGGTTTTGCCATAGCTGACAGTTCCAAAAGCTTTTCCTAGTTTTTTTTGGGGTTTTTTTATTTATTTATTTTCTTTTTGGTAAAAATCTGTGCGAGGTAGAAAAAGTCATTGGCTTTATTTGCATCAGAACCAGTTCAACTCATGTTTGATTCTGTTATCTGTAGCTTGCTGATTGATCGTGAATTGTTCAGTGTCTTAGAGTACCTTCCCTACTTCTTGTCTACTTTCAGAATCGTTGGACTCACTGGTTTTTAGCATCAGAGCAATATGTACTGTTCTAACACACATCTCTTTATCTGTGCCATACAGATAAACTGTTTAGAAAAAGGGTCCGCAGAACAAAGGTCCCTAGTTTGGGGGAATTTATTTTCCTGTATTTCCTGAAGTAGTCTATTGGTTCTTTCCCTCCTAGCCAAAGAAAATGGCTGCCATCTTTACTGGAGATTTTCAACTGTTTTTCTTTGGAAAATAAATCTTTTCTTTTCCTCTTTAGGTTGCTAGTAACCGCAGTGCGCATGGCAGAAGAATTTAGCAGTCACCAAGTATTGGTAATACTGAAGACGATGCAGAAAATGAAATGCAGAAATTCTCATCTACTCAAAAAGTAATTTTTTTGATACTGCTAAGAAGTTGTATTCTCTAGGTAAACTACTTCCATTTAGTATGGAAAAATATATAATATCCAGTAAGTTGGGAGTGGAGAGTGTCACTTGCACACAAATGCATATACACTATATATAATTAGCTATTACAGATTTTAGAATATCACAGTTGACCCAGAAGTAATTGAGGCAATTTAGGAATTTCATAGAAGGGCATTGCAACCCTTCCAAGTTAATGTAATAAAATTTTTGGCTTATTTACAAATATGTGATCCTAGAACTTAGCCTCTAACAATTACTATAAACTGGTGAGACAAATGAGAATATAGTAAGTTGCAGAGAATGTGTCCTATCTAGGAGATCCTGTTATGGATGTGAATTGTTTCTTCAAAAGTCATTGTGCCCTACTTCAAACTATTAATTCTTGTGTCTTTAAGAATCTGGGCCAGATTTTCTGCAGTTGTAAACTCAACATTGTTTATAGGGAGAGGTAATACCCGCCCCCAATGAATGGAAAAGCAGTTGAGGTTTTGGGCACAGAAGATGTAGCATCAGATATGTCACAGATGCAGCAGAGTTAAATGCAGGTTGTGAGCAATAACTGGAGTGAATGTAGTTGTATGAACCAAATAGATCCTTGGAAGAAAAAGGACAAGTAGTACTATGGAGCAGAGTGGTATTAAAGGGAAGACCAGGTGAATTCATGCTTTTTCTCCTTGAATCTCACTGTCTAAAGAAGGTCTTAAGGTGTTATCTTTCCCTGCAAATCTAGCCACCTCTTGCAGCTTTAGACCAACATAGTTGTAGCAGCCACTATTATATAAGTGAGTACAGTGATGCTGAAGCTGGTGATGCTGATATAGTTTATTCCATTTGTCGTGGTTTAACCTCAGTCAGCAACTAAGTACCACACAGCTGCTCTCTCACCCTCCCCCCGCCGCCCTGGTGGGATGGGGGAGAGAATCAGAAAAAAAAGTAAAACCTGTGAGTTGCGATAGACAGCTTAATAGGACAGCAAAGGAAGAGAAAATAGTAATAATAATAATAATGATAAAAGAATATACAAAACAAAAGTGATGCACAATGCAGTTGCTCACCACCTGCAGCCTGATGCCCAGCCAGTCCCTGAGCAGCAATTGCTGCCCCCCAGCCAACTCCCCCCAGTTTATATACTGAGCATGACGTCATATGGTATGGAATATCCCTTTGGCCAGTTTGGGTCAGCTGTTCTGGCTGTGCCCCGTCCCAGCTTCTTGTGTACTTGGCAGAGCATGGGAAGCTGAAGAGTCCTTGACTAGTGTAAGCACTGCTTAGCGACAACTAAAACATCAGTGTGTTATCAACATTGTTCTCTTACTAAATCCAAAACACAGCACTGTACCACCTACTAGGAAGAAAATTAACTCTATCCCAGCCGAAACCAGGACACGATTCTTGGTCCACTCTAAATTGAACTGGTTGTAAAATCTGCAACAGAAATTATTAGAGTGAAGGAGCTGGTTTGCTGTGATGAAGGCTTTAAGTTTGCAATTCACTAAGTGGAGAGAGGCTGCTGTGTCTCAGTGGAACACTGTCAAAACTGGGATGAAGAGGAGTGCAGGTGTGTGCAACCCTCCACCTAGGTACTATGCACCATGGGACACCCCTTCTTCATGTGGCGTGATGGGTTTTGCAATATCTTCTGTATTGGCACAATACCATGTCATCCTTTTCTCTTTGTATTCAGAATGGCTTCTGTTCTCCACAAACACTTGGATAGCTATCATGTATTACAGTTGGTAAAGTTAGCGCAGTACTTGGTGGTGCTGCGTTGCCACAATCTGGAGCTGTTTGCCAAACTAAAAATGTTGCTATTTGGGTAAGTGTGTATTCTTGGAAATGTAGCTATTTTAAGTATTAAGCAGTTGTCTACTTAATATTTTAAATAACAAGCTAAGATGTTAAATTGTTTTGTTTCTGTAAAATATGAAGTAACAAACTGTTAAAAGTATTTGATTCTATTAGACATGTAAATCAGAGGATAGGTAGTGGCTATCGTCTTGACTATAGACCCAATAGTATCTGCTAATAGATATGATAACTTTTAAAAATAGGGGTTTTTTGCCCCTCGCCCCTTGACCCCTGCAATATAATGACATTGAACTGGAAATTTTGATTGGTACTTTATAGGAAGGGTAGGTATGTTTGTCTTCTTTGATGTTTGAAGGAACAAGTAATGAAAAATATACGGTAAGAATGCCATGGTTGGTACAAGTGAAAGTGTGAAACTGAAGTACTCTTCTTTTGATTGAAGAACTGTCTAGTTAGTTCTCAGGCTTGTACAGTTGCAACATAGAAAGGGAAACCGTTTCTGGAATCGCAGGAGAAGAGATCTGCCACTGTTGCTTCCATCGCTCAGCCTCTATAGGAATGCAGTGCCCTGGCTGTACATGTTTTTTGTGGATGATGCCTTCATGTTCCTCAGGCACCTCAGAACCTGGTGCTCCCCAGGACAGAAATTATCCTGGTCCAGAAACCCACAGGTTCCATTAACAAAGGCGGACCTTCTGCCCTTACTAAGGACTTCTGTGTTTATCAGCCTCACCAGCTGACTGAGATGCTCCCTGTCTTCCCTCTTTCAATTTTGAATAAGTTAGAAGAAGTTAATCTCAATGAAAAAAGATGGTAGTCACTAACTGTGTGAATTTCTACCATGTCATTAATATTCTACTTATTTTATATTTGATGTGCAGCTTTTGACTTTTAAAATAGAATTTTCATGCATGTATTTTGTTTTTTTTAAACATTTGCACTTTGTCAGTACTGATGGTGTGTTTATTTCTGTCTCTCTTCCAGTTTTTTAAAATCTAGTGTCATACCTGCTGACACTGCTGCAATAATTCGTGTTCTGGCCATGCTTCCTTCCTTTCAAGTGGAGGAAATCATTATAAACAAAGCAGCGGCAGTTCTGCCTCAATGCAGGCTCCATCATTTGAATTGCATTGCTACAGCTGTTGTCAAATGGAATCATTATGACCAGTTGCACTGGCAAAACAGTTCTGAGCTATGTGTAAAGCTTCTGCAAAAACTAAATGACTGTGGATTTCAGAGGCTTCAGAAAGCCAACAACTTAAATCTTCTGTTGGAAGAACTTACACATGTGAATGGAGAGTGGTTTGCAGAAGTCCTCAGTGAGGAAACTATGGCCATGTGTCAATGCTTGATAGACCAAATAACACGGGCAAATGTATTACAGTTGTCGTCTTTTCTCATAAAAACAAACCACCGTTGTCCTTCATTACTTGACAGAATAGCTTCTGTGACTGTTGAAAATATAGACAAGGTATTGCAGTTTTTCTTTGTACCTACTGTGTAAGTTATTCAGTAAGAAAGGACAGGTTAGTAGTTAATGTGTTTCAGAGCACAATCCACACTGTGTTTCTAAGAGTTTTCTTCAGTGTGCCTGATTTGGAGCTCATCTTTTTCTTTGTTCACTCAAAGCTGTTTTGCTTCCATGTATATTATTTTGCACTTCTCTTTAATTTTCCTTTCTTATTTTATTGTTCAGTCAGTGTTGGGTCAACCATAATCCTTTGCGTTCAGCTTTACATTTGACCATCTTAAATAATTTTTTTTTCAGTTCTTTACAAATTGTCACATCACACGGCATATATTTTTACATTACTCATTCCTGTGGGGATTTCCCCAGTAGCCTGTCTTTTTGGTCAAAATTACCGTGTTTTCTTGCTATCTTTTTTTTCTCCTTCTCAAGCAGGTACTTATGTAGATCTTTGATTTTATTCTATGACAGTTTAGTTTCTTTAAGAGCATTTAATGGGAAACCTTTTTAAAAGCTTCTTAAAGTCTAAGTGTACAGAAACACTTGGATCATCTACATGAAATAGATTTTAAGTTTTAGCCATAGCTGCAATTTTAATGATTTCTGCATTTTATTTTTTTAATATTTTTCTCCAGGAAAAGTTGACCCAAAAAAAAAAAATTTAGGAAATAGCTCATCTAGTCTTAAATCTCCCAATTCTGAATGAATTATAAAACCCTTTTTTATTGTAAAGCAATATTAGGATGTTTTGCAGTGACTTAATTTAGGATGTCTTTTTTGCAGATCCACCCCTTTGAAATCTATTTTATTCTTTTCCTTTTCTCTGCTGTGAATTATGACCCTCCTGCCAATGAAGAGTTCTTTGAGAGTTGTATCCAACATCTTATTTCTAATTTGAGTAAGTGCATTAGAGAAAGATATTGACACCAAATAAATTAGTATCACTGGAAGATATTATTTGTACTGAATAAAAATGGGAATAGAATGGCATTTTTTTTTTTTAAGCAAAGCAAAAAGTGTTTCTGTATGTTACTACTAATAGTCTGCCTACTGGGGTTACACCACGACAAAGATTCAATGTATGCTTCTGTTGGGTTTTCTAACTTCATTTCACCCTTTAAAAATCACTGTTGATAAGGGACTAGCAAGGTATCTTGAGCATAGTAAAAAGCAAGTGAAAATTCTGATTAATTCGCTGTGCTGTCATTGGATAGAATTGTGGCATTCCCCAAAGAATCATCATTTGGGGACAGGATACATTTTGTGATTCATCACAAAGAAATGGCTAAGTGGTAGAGGAAATGTGTAGAGACTTTTTTTTTTGATTGATGATACAGCCTCACAGAACTGTGAAAAATTGCTGTCTACTGAAATATTGTGGACTTAACTTTTTTTAAGACTAATTTCCTCCTGCAAAGACCTAGCAAGAGTTACCTTACACCTTGGTACAGTTAGCAGAGGTAGTCCTTAATCGGCCTGTGTGTTCATGTAGCGTGTTAAGAGAGAAACTTGATTTGGGAGGCCAGGGGGAGGGCATTGCAAACCCTTTCAACTTTGTCATGTGTTAATATGGATTTTTGTCTGTTTTTTAAAGGTTGTTTTGAAACTCACCACTTGGTGCTGCTTGGTCATGTTTTGGCAGTGGCTGGGTATTTTCCTCCAGTTCTGATAACCAGGATATTTAATGTTTCTTTCCTAAGCAAACTGGATGCTCAACTTGAAGGTAGATATCTAGCTCTCTGATGAATTTGATTATGTAGCATTGGGCATAAAATGGAATTGTGGACCTATATATGACTTGAGAAGTAGAATTACTCTTTAAATGATTCAGTTTTCTGGAAAGATCCCTCTGTATAATCTAGTCATTATTTGAGTGCTAAAAGGGAAGGGATGAACAAAAATTCGTGCTTTGCTTTAAAAGTACAGACTTGTATTGCAGATGAGAGAAGCTCATTTAAAACAAATTTTATAGCCAACTTATTGCACTCAGTATTTAATAATTCTTCAGTTTTATTGGAAATAGAATTACCTGAGTGTGGTATTTATTACCAGAAATAGTCACAAAGCTCAAGAAATAATGTGGGATTCTTGTCTGCAAGAAATGAGTCCTACCAGTCTCTTGTCTCTAAATAGGAGACTGAGTGTTTGTCTGACTGCTTCCTTCCTCTCTACCTGTACGTTGTTTGCTATCAATGTACTGTTGCCATTTTGCCTTCAACCACTTCTTTAAAAGTTAAATGGTAGAAGAGAGTTTAAGTTGATTCTTTCTTCTGTCTTGTTGTTGTTCTTAATATTGAGCAAAACTGTTATTTTTCATTTTTTGCTCCGGGATTTTGAGAACCTTCCTAAGATTCTGCAGTATGAATTTTAAAAATGCCATAGTATACAGATATTTGCATCTCTAGTAAAGAATTCAGAGGTAGCCATTTAGTTCAGCGTGTTGGATTTTTCACATTTCAGTTCACACCTTTTTATTTTGTTTAACTCAGTCCTGCCTGATACCCTAAAGCAGAGAGTCCGCTCACGCCTCATGAAATTGAACAGAGCAGTCTGTCTGGAATGCCCAGAGTTTCACATCCCTTGGTTTCATGAGCACTACTGCCAGCGTGTCTTTCGTAACAGTAAGTAATTTAGGAGAGGAGAAGCTGCCCTTGCTACTAGTAATAGTCTATTTTCAACAGTCTGCTAGATGCTTCTTCTAAAACTGTATGTTGACACTAGCACACAATAGAAGCTCAGAAAGGTGCACTCCACTATCTGCTGAGGATGTGTCCTTGAAAAGTGCAACCACTTAGTAGTGCGACAGATAGCAAAGCAGTTATCCCCATGAGAATTAATGTAATAGAGATGGGATATTTCTTCTTAAAAAATAAAATTTAAATACACAGAAACAGTATATATGGCATGGAGGATGGAGAGGCAGGAAGAGGATCATTAGGATTGTCTACTGGAGGAGGTGGATCACTTTGATCCCTGCTTCACTTACAAGACTGAACATTTGACTTCAATTTTTCAAGGTAAACATTTTTGCTGCCTCCTTTTGAACTCACTGCTGTCATCTTCCTCAGAAGAATCGAGATCCATCCAGGATGAGAGATGGACAAGTAGGCTAGTGATCAAGTGTAGCAGCTGAGATCTTTAAGAATAGCGATCAGTTCAGAAAATCCAGCTAATGCAAACTCTATCTCCTCCACTAATTCTGATGGGGGAGATCTGCTTTGTTATCCATCAAACTCAGCTGCTTTATCTCTGAGACCAAAGATGTTTAATGGAGCAATTAACAATCTGCAACAGACAGAGAAGTGACAGATAGTGTGGTGTGCCTGTAATAGATGCAAAATAAGTAAATACTTATTTAAATATCTAAGCGTGATTAAAAGCAAACAAAATCCAACGGAGGAAACCTGAAACTAAAGTGTTTGTAGTATGTGAATGGGAAAAATCCTGGGATGGAAAGTCGGGATTTGAAATTCATGCTTAATAGGCACCTGTAACTTTCCACCCAAAAGATGATCACATTGTCTCTGAATTATGATGGAATAACACCAGGGATCTCTGGAAAAGCTTTAATTCAGTAGGCTGGCTGTCAAAAATGCAGTGTCACAAAGTGCTATTTTCAAAACTGGCTGTGGAAGTTTTGATGTATGAATTCTTTATTTTGTCTTTGTAGGCAGTAGCCGAATAAATCCACTGCGACAGCATGTTCACAGAATGCTGATAGAGATCTTAGGAGGGAGCCATTATGCAAGAATATCTGTTCTGACACCATACTACTATGAAATAGGTGAGAAGTTAATTCTCTAAGGATTGTTAAGGAGACCCCTGATATCACTATTATCACCAAGATTAGGAAGCCCCTGGGCATGTGGCCACAAGATACTGCAAAGAAGAAATTGCTGTATATAATACAGTTTCTAAAAAGTTCTGCATAATATAAATAATGTTGGGTATCTCTAATTATGGTTATCACTTAGTTTTTCTAGAAGTAAACACTGTACAGATCAAATTCTTTCACCTTTTTTTTTGTCAGTAAACAGGTTCGTTGTGTTTTCTCGCAGATTTTGAGTGCATTCTGGATGAAAATAAAAAGCCTCTTTCCTATATGGCTCAGAATATACCTTTGGATGATGTGGAGGGAATACACTTGAGACTTGACATCAAGGATGAAGGGAGAAAGGCTCTGCCACCAGGAGCTCAGAGGTTAGTACATCGAATTCTTGCACGTTAGCTTTTCCAAGCTTCCAAGTTTAGACCAGGTTTTTTATGTTTCTGTCCTAAACAGTTGTTGCAACCCCTAGGCTATTTATTTTTCTGTTCCTTTTTCCAAAGCCATATGAAGTTTAGCCTTCCTAGGTGTGGCGGGTTGACCCCAGCCAGCAACTAAGCTCCCATGAAGTTGCTCGCTCACTCCCCTGCAGTGTGATGGGGGAAAGAATCTGGAGGGCAAAAGCGAGGAAAAAACCTCCTGGGTTGCAATTAAGACAGTTTAATAAGCGAAGAGAAGAAAGAGGGAACAAAAACAAAAAACAATTGATGCAAATGCAGTCACTCACCACCAGCAGACCAATGCTGGAGCAACGGCTACTTTGGGAAAACTCCTCCCTGTTTTATTGCTGAGCATGATGTTATATGGTGTGGAGTATTGCTTTGGCCAGTTGAGGTTCCAGCTGTGTCCCCTCCCAACCTCTTGCCCATGCCAGCCTATACACTGTGGGTGCAGAGGGAGAAACAGAGAAGGCCTTGATGCTGTGCAAGCACTCTTCAGCAATAGCCAAAATATTGGTGTGTTATCAACACTGTTTTGGTCACAGATCCAAAACACAGCACCATACAGGCTGCTATGAAGAAAAGTAACTCCATCCCAGCCAGACCCAGTACGCTGGGGCAGACAGGGCATTCTGGAAACGTGTTTCATGGGCTTGGAATACTGTTTTCCTCCCACCTCTTTAAATGTAAGCCTTGAAAATGCTGGTTGGCTGTTTTTGCCATTTGAACAAGAACAGACACAGGGAAGAAATGCTTTTTCTAAATCATGTGAAGTTTAAGTATCTCTAGATAAATATGAGGAAAATGTTTTGGCTAGTTTCAGCGAGTTGTTTAATTTTCTTTTTCTATGAATTGTCAGGTTTACCTAGTAATAGTCTTGCTGCAACTATCAATAATGAAATACCACTTCTCGCTATTCAGGTAGGACCTGAAAGTAAATGCACTTTTTTGTTGTTGCCAGAATTGCTTTGGAATTTCTTGATTCAAAAGCTTTTAGCAAAGATTCACGTCACCTGAAAGGAGAACCTGCACTGAAAAAACGACACCTGGAAATGCTGGGGTACCGGGTAGTTCAGGTGAGCAGTCAGCAATATTTTATGTCCTTTCTGAGTTGTATCAATCTGCACTATTGATACATTTTCCTTGCAGCAGACTTAAAGATAGTTTTAATAGTTAAAAGCACCTACTGGGTGAGAGGAATTTTTGTATTTAGGGAGGAAATTCCAAGCTGTTCTCAAGATGGCGTAAGGACTTCATAGAACTTGTACCTTCTCTGAAAGTGGCTGCAGCAAAACTGAAATCAAAAGGTCTCAGTCTTACCTTACTGCAGCCAAACTAGCAATCTCGACGTAGCCTGAATAAAGGAGAAGTGAAACAAGTTTCAGTTCAATTCACCAAAGATTTCTACACTAGAAAAAGATTGAGCATGCTCTCCTTGAGTGATAGAGAGACAGTTACGGCAGCTGCAAGATGGGATATGGGTGCTGTCTGTCTGCTGCAGCGATAGTGCTGTGACAAGGAAGACTAGTGGCTGGAGATAGTTCACAGCCACCAGCATAGAAACATTTGGGGAATGGAAGCTCATGAATGCAGATTCTCCTGTATGTATAATTACTCACCTACTCTAATTTTAGCTAGAATCCTTCTTTAAGCTTAAGTTAGGTTGTTTTTGGTTTTTTAACAGGATAATCATCCTTTCTCATATTGCCCTGACAGTGAATGTTATGCTACTGATACACCATTCCAGTTTGATACATTAACATTACAAACTATAGTGACCTGGGATTTTTCTCTTGATTTGGGTTTCAAAAGGTGGGCGATGGTGTAATGGAGTTGTCATAGCCTGTATTGCGTGGGCACCTGCTTTACATCTCTGCAACTATGCTGCTTTTTGGAAGCAAACTGACTCTACTTACATGAAGAAGAATCTTACATTGAGGAAATTAATCTTTTCAGTATTAGAATAAGCCTAGCTTTTAGAAGGACACAGGTGAAAAAATATCTTCAAGTGGAGAACAACAGATATCAGAGAGCCTTTTCTTTGCTGTAAGATGGTATGTGGCTTATACCAATGTTAACACTCAGTTTATATGATTCTGTTCTACAGATTCCTCACTTTGAATGGAATTCTATGGTTCTGTCAACAAAAGGTGAACAGCAAGAATATCTGAGAAAGCATCTATATGGAGTACAGTGATGTCAGACATGCAGTCAAAAGTACTTTTTATACAAATACTTCAGGTACCATTAAACTTCTTGTAATCCTGGAAATACTTAGTGTCAAAAATCTCTGGACCAAGGCTTGCCATGGGGCGTCAGGTGTCAAGAGATTTAATCCTCAATTTGTAGGGATTGCAAAAGGGCAGGTCACAATGGGCCATGAAGATGTGATAAGGAGGCTTAAAATCTCCCATTATCTGGAAGCTGTTCTTTAAGTACATGAATCTGTGACAGTTTTGCCATAAAATTACATAATTATCTCCTAAACAAATAGCACAGAGGCTTAGCCAGACATAAAACTGTCCAAAGAAAAAGTTGGAAATACTCTTGACTGTGAGAAAGGAGACAGCAGATCCACTGGAAACTATGTCTGTCCTCCAGCATGTGATAGAATGAGCAATAGGATCAAACAGTATCTGTACTGTGAAACCAAGAAACTGAAATGCAGATTTACTAAGAATAGGACTGCTATTACAGCCATTCTGTTTCCATCTTCCAGAACAGAGGTACTGTGGGTGACTGTGTCGGGGGAGGGTGTTGTGCAGTGAGGAACCTCCAGCTGCTTCTCCTACCCTGTGATGTGGCATGTACAGAAGCATGGCTTGAGCCTTCTGGAACACCTTCACATACTTAAAAGATAGACTAGTTCTGGAGGTCTGGCAGCCACCCAGACCCTTGAAACACCTGTACTCCAGTTAAATGCAACTTGGAAGGGATACCTGAAAGATTTATAAAAGATAAGGAGAAAATAATGCTTACGTCACACATAGGCACTTACTTGCAACTGCATAATTCATGAAATTTATTATTATGGCATTATGCATTGGACTAGCCCTTGCTAACAGAAATAAAACGAAATTACACAAACCATCTAACCTGCCTGTTCTGTAAATAAGACAGAACTAGGCTGAAAATTGAAACCAAGAATCAAGAGCAAGAAAAGTCTTCAGAGAGCGACAACCACCTTGGTTACTGGTGGTGAAAAACATTGCTAGTTTATGTATCATGTTTCAAAACCATCTGCCATTTACCAGGCTTCCTGTGATTGCACTCAGCCAGGGTTTGTGTCAGGAGGCGTAAAGTACTGAGATATAGAAGGAAAAAGTGGAATAGCCAGGAGAATGTTCATTGTAGAGCAATTAACTGTAGAGTGGTCATACTTATGCAAATCAGCCAATTTCAGAGGCAGCCATGTTGTGGCTAAAGCTGCCATTACCTCATGACGACTGCTAGCTCTGCCCATCTCTTTCACACATGCAATTTGTATGTTTTCTTGCCTTTTTAGTAGAAGCAATAGACATTTTTACCACTTCCTTTGAAACCTGGCAGAGGTAAGCAACTGCATTTCTGAATTGACCATTATGCACCTGGCTGTCACTTTTTTTTTTATTACTTAGTAGTAGAAGAAAATATTGACTGAATACAAATCAGGACACTAATGAAAAGCCAGGAAAAACCGACAAAACTGATCTAAGCTGCAAGGTGCTTTGCTCCTGAGGCAGCCCTCACGTTTGTGGGATGACTGAAAAAACTAGTAGATGTTGTTGGCTTATGGTATCAAACAGATAAGGGCTCCAAGATGTAGAAGACGAGTGCTTTGAGGAAATGTCATTGAAGGCACAGCACATAGAAAGACTATATGCATATTATATTTTGTATAAAATGAAGGAGGCAATCATAAATATAGGTTAGGATCTCAGAAGGTGGGCTACAAGTCAGAGGGCTCTTGCATGATCTGCTTCTGTACAGATGGCCTTCAGGTAGCAACCTTTGAGCGCAAGAAAGGTGGCAGTGGCTGTAGCTGGAGTGATCAGTCATGTGTTTGAGCTGAACCCTGCTTTTCAGGTACCCGGCAGTCACTCTGTGCCAAGCCAGGTGTCTTCAAGTTATGTATGGATAAAGTTATGAGTATTCACAACAGGAAGAGGATTAAAAGTTGCTGTGAGTGGATTCAGAAAGGGCATCTAAGAAAAGCAAAATATAAGAGTGTTTCAGTAAGCTGTGCTGCTTTTGATCCTTTGCAGTCATTCTTTCTAAATTAAATCAGCAAGTGTTAGAGCAGATGGGCTGGTGTAAACCAGTGATTTAACTGGAGCCAATGAAAAGATGCCAAGAACAGCTGAAGATTTGGATACTAAAGGGGAAAACAGAAAAGATGTCCCACAGGTTAAGTACCGGCATGCAGTAACATACTGCAGTGAGCTATGATGGCTGTGCCTTTGCCATTTGATAGTTGGAATTGCTATTCTGTCAGGTGTGGTGGGCTTCTTTTCCAGTTTTCCTGCTATGTCAGTTGTAATTAGATTTAGACTTATGACATCCTTTAGCTTTATGACACCCTCTTTATTCAATGGAGAAATCCTTTGAAGAGATACTCTATAAAAATGGTGGACGTGCTCTACTTTAAGAAAACTTGAGTGCTCTGTTTTGGGCAAAGGCTGTGCTAAGAAATCTGTGTCCTGTCAATACGACAGTGATGATGAGCTGATTACCAAAAGAGACACTATCAAGTGATATTTTTATAATTTTAAAAACAAAGTTTAATTGTTAAAAGTTTCAACATCAAAATGCATCAACTCTTTATTAGATGGAAAAGTCCTCTCTGCCGTAGGTATTTGCTGATGATAACTCTTCTAGGACTTTTTCATGAATGCTTGTTAATGGCCTCAGATCTCTGAGAAAAACTTCCATAAAATAATTGCTTTGGAAATAAATATAAAAGCATAAAAAAGTGGAAAACCCTTGTTACCAGAAGCCTAAACATAGTAGGTGAAACAGTAGAGCTATTAACCTTGTGAACTCCTCTCTCCTTACGTCTGGCTACTAGCACAGCTTTGGCTGAGATTGGCATTTCTTAGGCCACATAGTGTTAGGCCACTTTTGTTTTCAATATGCACTTCAATTCCAGGCTAAATTATTTTTAGAAGGCTCTAATGAAAATATTTTTGAGATACGGCTGAAGAATGCAGGATTTACATACATTGCTGAAGGGGGAAATCAGGCTGTACAAACAGCCAGTTAGAATAAAATTAGCTACCTATTAGTTGTATTTAACAATTAATTCATGGGCATTGTTTGGAGGATAAGCCACCAGTATTCTGGATTGTCTGAGTGTAAGGAAGTCTAGTTTTACTGGCAATTTCACAGAGTGAAAAATGGAGTTCTCTCTGAAATCTTCATTTATTCTAACCAACTTTAATTAGAAATCTTCAGGATTTTAAACGTTGTTGTTGGTTAGCTAGTAAATATCTTAAGACTTGGACAGACAGATGAACTGTTTAACAGTTAACAGTACAACTAGTATGCTGCTACAAAACTCTGTACAATTTGGGGACCTTTTCATGCAACAAAACCAGAAGAGCCTATCGAAACTCCCTCACCATATCACATTTCCCAGCATTTTGTTTATAGTTTTGATAACTTGAAGAGGTTTAAGCGTGTAGCCAGGCAGGAGGCTCCGGTAGCATATCGGATCTCTTTCAGTATGCCAATCCATTCCTTCTTTTCATCATCGTACCTGTGTTTAACAAAATAAGGTCAGAACATAGCTGCTTAAAATTTGAGTTTGATGCTTCATCCCACATACGTGAAAAGGAGGATAGTCCACATGTTGCAAAGGCTTGTAGCAACCATGTGCTGAAGGATGCCACAAAAGGCTGCTCTCGTCCTCAAAGCTTGTTGCTGGCCTGTGTCATACTTCAGTTACTCCTATAAAAGCTTCCTCCTTGTCTTAAGTATCCCCTTTCTGAATTCCTTCAGATTCTTACATATAAAAGTGTTTTTTCTGGGAATCCTTCCTATCCTTCTGCCAGTTAAAACTCCTGAATTTACCTTAGCAACTGAAAAGTCACAGCAGAGATGTGATTTTCATCACTGCTACCGTGATTTAGATTAAAAAAAATCGAGGAGGTAGGGATTTCTGATTCTCTTGGAACAATTACTTACTTGACTATTAACACATGAATAAGTACAAACCTCTCTGTATACAAGCTTTTCTGCATGAGAATCAAGAAACGGAGAATGTTTTTACGGTACACTCACAAGGCTAAACCTGCCAAGAGATATGGCAACTTACTCTTTTAAAGAGTAAAAAAATCTGAAGATCATGACTCAGACTGCTGAAATTATTAGTAGGCGGAAGTAGTCATTAGATCCAAGTCTCATGTTTGTTACTTTCTGACAAACATTTCTATCTGTCAGCAAGTGCTTTACAACCTGTGCTATGGTTCATTTCCAGAGTTAAACAGAAAACTAACTTTACCCTCCAGTGTCTACAAACCTCAATTTTAGATATGGCTTTCTACCAGGAAAGCGTGATTAAAATTAAACTTACTTCCATATGTCAGTGACTTCACTGGGCGCAAATTCTTTAGATTCAAGCTGAATCATTGCAAAGCCTCCAATAGCATACAAAGCTCCGCTTAAGGTGACTAAACTGATGGAACTTCTCTCTTGGGGAAATTCAGGCATAATCTCCCACCTAAAGATGAAAAGAAAAACCTAAGTTAAACAAACACATGAGATATTCTAAACTGAATGCACTAAAATACATCTCTGGGTGACATAAATTCAAGTACCAAGGACCGCTTGAGTGAATGGTTTAGTAAAAGGAAAAAACCCTGAGATTTATCAGCGGTGAGTTTCAGTGTCTCCATCCCCACAGGGACTTCCCACAAGGCTTAAGTGATGAAATTACACCGTGATGACATCTCTTCACAGAGGCCACTTCTTACAGGTCGCCTGGTCCCATCGTCAGTAACGTGCTTTATACAGATGTGTTGTTCGCCAGCTACTCTCATTTTTTCCCTATAGTTTCCAAAACACATACTCATTTCAAGTGGCACTGATGTAATAATTCGAGTTTAAAAAAAGTCACTGGAGCTCATTAGCATAATTTCAGTTTTTCTGCCAATTCACACCTATGAACATACAAAACATACAGACATCCCACTTCTGGATAATGTCAACATCAAAACTAATAGGCTAATTTCTCTCTCGTTTGCGTGACTTGACTGTAACAAAATAGAGTAACCCAAGACAAGAACCTGCAGATTTTTCAGACTGCAAGATGGATGTGTTTCTGAACAATGGAAGAGAAGAATGTGCCAAACATCATGCTAACAAAATGACCTTTACTTTGCTTTCTATGGAAGGTATAAAGTCCGAAATTCCCTCATAGAATTACTTCTTGCATAATTCATAATTGTTAATTTTGCATAATTTTGCATTGTTAAATTTTATAAGCAAGTCTCTTTGGGATAGTATACATTTAAATGAAAGCTTTTGTTGTGAGGTTGATGGCTGCAATGCCACCTGTCAGTGAAGCCAGCACAGCCAAATGTGTTTATATACAATAGAATTGCTTATTAATAAAATAAAGGTGCACCCAGGACCACTTAAAAGTTTGAGCTATCGTAATAAAGCTTTGCTGATACTATTTTAAATAAAAGTTTGTAAATAAGATGGTAGGAAGGAAAAGTAAAATTAAGAGTAGAAAGACGGATACAGAGGGTATAAACTCCTGGAAAATCATAAACTTCTGAGGGATGCTGACTGCAAAAGATTCTGGCTGTGGGGAAGAACATTGGAAAGTATCTGGACCAAATAAGTGAGCTAATTCCAGGTACGACTTACTATAAAGAAAAAGTCTTGACAAAAGAGTATTTTAGAGCATGCACTTAAAATGGAAAGTCTTCACGGGGTTTTCATAGTAAATAAATAAGCAGAATTATCTGCCTGTCACTAATGGTGTTTGCTGTGACAAGGTAAGTGAACAGCAAGACATCACAAGGCCATGTACCCGAAGGACGTTCAGCTAGTCCTGTTCAGGCACCCGATTTCTCTTGCTGGGGTTTCATGTTTAGTGCCAGTGCCATTTCAACTAGATTGTGCGGCCCTTGCCCATCTCTCCTACTTCTCCCCTATTATGCCAGCACACCTGTTTATGTGGCCGTGTGGTCAACTAAATTGGGAAAGTAATCAGACTTCAGAAAAAAAAAAGAGATGAGAGGCTGGGTTATTTTTGCTACATGAGCTCCTTGATTGATCATGGTTGCAACATAGCTATGCTAGCATAGAAAATGCATGTAGGGGCAGGAAAAATGGCCACAGATACGGGCTCTTTAAGCTGCTGCTGTTGCTAAAGATACGAATGTAGACCAGCTGTCTCAGTGGGAGTATAGGCACCTGAACACCTTTGTGACTCTTATCTCAGAGATCCTAAAAGCCTAGATGATAAAACAAACACTTGCTTAAAAATAGCTTGAATACTGCACTCACTTATTGGTGGTCAGATCAAAAGCTTCAACAGATGCAGTGAGGCCTTCTTCAGTGACACCGCCAGCAATGACAATCTTGCCCTTATGGATAGCCGTTCCAAACATTGAGCGAGCCACTTTCATTGGAGCCAGGTCTCTCCAGTCTCCTTTCTTGGGATTGTATACAAATAGTCGATTAGTGCATTTCCTGGGGAGGAAAAAGAAAACCTGTGATCATTTCTAACGAACTTTTGGCTTGTTCCAAGTGAGACCTAGTTGAGGTGGATTGTGTGGGTTTAGGTATAACACCTCTTTCCTCTCCATGAGATCCTTTCTTGTATCTAATCTGGAAACCTTCGCATGTCTACAAAGCACTAATCACATCCACAGAACTAAATCAAATGTTAAATGCTGCTTACACAGGGCAGCAATTTTACTGTACCTTACAGGAGAAAGACAACGTCCTTTCCCAGCATATTCTATTCAGATGGGTTTGTGGAGGAACGTATGACAAAGGTCAAAAGAAAGATTATGCTGCAGTTTTGGCTGATTTGACAAGCTTGTGTCTTAAGTGTCCCCTATACAAACACTGAAAAATTACCATCACATGCTAAGTGTGAGCAAAAACTTTGATTTTCCTAATGTTATACCCGTTAAGGTATAACAGTCATCACAGGTCAGAAAATTTGAAAAACTGACATAGTAATTCCACAGCACCTAAGTATTTCTATCTACCTGGAAGGAAATAATACTTTCAGTGAGGGTCCTCATAGCTATGTATTACTGATGTGTCTGCAATGTAAGTAAAATTTGCCTTGGAAATAGGTACGGTCATTAAAATAACTAGTTGGGATCATGAAAAAGATATCCCGTATACCATAATGTGTTCCCCTCTGCCAAATTGTTAGCAACCTTAATCCAGAGATGTAGAAAAGGGAACCCCTGATGTCTGAGTGTGAGGACATATAATCTATAAAGGACCAACCAAATAACGTTATAAATTGTCATGAAAAGACTTGGAGACTCACTTATCATCAGTTTTTCCGCCAAGACAATATATCAATCCATTGTTTGAGATAGTAGCATGGCCATATACTTTGATGGGCAGTTTTTTGATCTCACCCCATTTCATTGCCCTGGAACAAAAAGAATACCACCGTTAGGCTCTTTCAACTAACAATGGGCTATTTACATGTCCTCAGTGGGCATAATTAAATTTTAAACATACACAGGATCATAGCACAACACTGAATCTAGAGACTCCTCGGTGCGAAGGTCCTTGCCTGCAATTACATAGATCTTGTTGTCTGACTCTCCCAGCCCGAAGAGGCACCTGGCTGACGGCAGTGGAGGAAGGGCAACCCACTCACCAGCGATGCTATCCAGCTGAAAGAGCATCAGAACAGGAAGCGTTAGGAAAGGCAAATAGTAAAAATCCACACAACGAACATTGTTCCACAAAATTGACCTAATTGCACTCGGTGCCTCTCAACAGCTCATCTGCTTGCCTGAACAGTCTACCCTTCCCTCAGTGCAGCTAATGAATGATGACTTCTGCCCACCCATACTTCATGGTGCTGAGACCTAGCAGAGTCAATGCCACACAGCGCGCTCTGCATCAGCTCACCCTCGCTTGTCCTCACAGAGTTTCTTTGCCTCTTTATTAAGCTCTTCTTCCTTGTTTAAAGGTCCCTTACTCTCTGGGTTCCCTATCACGTGTTGGAAAGAACAAGTTGTTCTTCCTGCCTGAAGGGAGCAGACACTCCTGCCATTCCACACCTATACATTTAGCCGGTTGTGCTCATTGCTACAATGAGATGCCAGACATCCTCACACCGTTCCTCTTAACGATCAGGAAATACTACATGGCAAATGGCACAGATGTTTCTTCTGCAATCCCTAGAGCAAAAGAGGTGGTGTTTCGTCACAAATACCCTCAAAAGCTCCTGAGATCTCTGAAGGCACAAGGAATAAAGACTTCACTCCTAAGCAAAAAAGGCAGGCAGTGCAGCTCCGTTGGCAATAATATTGATGTCATCCCTACTGAAGTACTCCCGCAGCTGTCTCAATGCACATCCAGTATGCTGAAAACACCTAAGGAGAAGCAGCAGCAGGAGGAGAGAAGAAAAAACAAACAAACAAAGCAAAACAATATTTTCCTAGAACCGTGGTGCTTAATTTTTGTTTTGATCCGAGAACTTACAATTGAACCTGAATGCTCTCTAACATTCAAAAAAGAACGCATATAGATTTGCTTCACGATGTATAGGAAGGGAAGGTAAAATGTGAGTTTGCATGAGTGTAAAGGCATTTGACAGAAAGCAAGAGAAAGTTCAGTCAAAGTAATCGGATCTGGGTTCAGCGCAGTGACATCCTTTTTCCAGAAGTATGTTCCACAGTCAAGGTCTCCATGCTAAAATGCATCTCCCAAATTTGATAGACCACTCCTATTGGACAGGAAGTTTTATTGCAACAGTGAAATTTAGTTCATGGACATGGATTGCCCCAGTGGCTGGATCTGGGTGGCATAATGAGGAGAAGATGTACCCATCACAGATCACAGCGTACTTAGTGAATCAGTCTTGAAGATGACATACCTACTGATGATAAGGCATAAACTAGTCATGCATTTTTGAGCCAGTCACAGCCTTGTTTTCTCATGGGTTGCTAGCTACCAAATAAAATGGTAACATGTGCTTCACTGGGGGGGAAAGGGAGATCAGTAAGTGAAAATCGGTTTGGCACCACATTAACATTTTAGAGGGAACAACAGCCAGATAGGTAATGCAGGCAAGTATTTTAACTATAGGCAGTAGCAAGCAAGCTTAAAGACGACAAGCGAGAGAGCAGGATTTCAGGAAATGGATGTAGACATATAAAGTAGGATTCTGAAAACTTCATCAATTTTTAGTATCAGTCTTGAGGTTTGGTTTTTCAGAGGCCCCTTTCTAGTAGCCTGAGACTTAGACTATTCAGTTCTGGATTATATACATTATGACATCACCACAGTATTTCTATTAGAAGAATATTTCTGTAACAAGTTTTGCACTTCCGTGACTAGCATTTTACACCTACATAAGGAAATGAAACAGTGCTAATCCCTCTCTAGCAAACTAAGGCTTCCCTCTCGCAGATGTAACAAACGCCTGAAACCAACTCTTTCATTGTGTGTGAAATCACAGTGAGCCATACTCCTATAAACACTTAATATTTGCATTTTTTAGTATCTGTAGGCTTTAAAATGCTGTCACTGCTTATCACTCTGCTTTACTTAACATTGAAACAGGACCTACTTTCACGTTTTTGGACAACTTGCCTAAAGACAGGACGTGGCACATATTGCTTAATTCATCATGAGATAGTTCAAATATCCCCCAAAGCATGTAGCCAGGTAGCTAAAAACACAACAGAATTAGTTTATGGTGTAAGCATGTCAAATTGTATTTTTGCTAATTTTTCTGAAATATGTTGTGGAAGTTACAGTTTGTATTAATCAATCAGCCTTACATCTTACATTTATACAGATTTACAAAGATATAAAATTATGCTCTCAGTTGAAACATGATATTTACTGTACTTACATTGACAGTTTGCCAAGAAAACAATCCTCTAAATTACGTATTTTAGAATGCCCTTAGGTTTTCAAATGTAGATGTGACAAAAGGACTTCTGGAATTTTAGTGACTAAAGGGGCATTTAAAATATGCACATTACTGCTGTCATAACAATATTTCAGATGCAAAAAAAGAAAAACACCTCATTAGATCTAAAGCAGCTAAGCACTCAACATTCATGGGAGTTAACAGAAATTCACAAAAGGTATTTCACAACATATTATTAGGCTTAAATTTAGGCATCTGTACCATGAAAAATCTGGGCCTTAAACAATGAAAGCCAGTGCCTACATACAATATACTAATCCTTCTAATATTTTCTGAGATCTCACCGGGGGCTTGATCTTGAAAGAGAAGATCCAAGTCCCTTGGTTTCATTTCTCTCTCCGAGACAGGAATAGCTCTCCATAGATATTTCTCTCCATCGACCATACAGAGAGACTAGACAACTCACTTGCATAGACTCGGAATACTTTTCAGTAACTCTTATAAGCACCTATTATTGCACCAGCAATTATAAAGCTTATACCTGGAAGAAGTATGACTGGAAAGGCTGATCCTTGTTCTCCTCTTCCACATACAGTCCTCCAACAATGTAGACCTGGTTTTGTTTGGTGACTATACTGGAATGATTTCTGGGAATCTGTTCTGCCAGGGCTGCTAGGTAGCATTCGTTTTCAAGAGGATCATAAGCTACTGCAGCAGTGTCATTAACCAGAAGAATTAGGTCTTTGACAAACATGCCGTGCCTGGGAAGGTCATTTAGGTAGCCGGGCAGTAAATCTTCATCTCCTACATCACCATTCACCTCCCCTTTGGTTGACTTCTCTGTAGTTTTGCTAGAGTCAGGCAGTTTTCCAGCAAAAGCATCCTTAATAATCTTTACTTTTTTCTGAAGGTCTGAGTTGCTTTTAATTATATCATCCTTCTCAACATGTTCTTTGAAATATTTTTCTGGCATCAGACGAAAACGTATGCAGTCAAAAATTTCCCCCAGGCTCTTTACTCTGTTTTCCTTGTCTGTTCGGACCCATCTCATTACTGCTTCAAATACCAGTTCTTCCTTCTCTACGTTTAAGCTGTCAGGTGAAATGACTGAGATCAGTTCATGCGGGGCAAGCTGCATGAAGTCGTCTTCTTTGCAGATCTGCACAAAATGATCTGAAACAAAATCACGGGCGGAAAATGCAAGTCTTGGGCAATCAAGCAGAACACCTAATCGAAGGATGGCCAGACAGTTACCAACAGCAAGCCTCTTCTGAAGATAGGAGACGCACACAGTGAATACAGAAGGGATCTGAAAGCGACTGGCCAAAGCAAAGATATCTTGCACGTTAGAATCATTAAGATCAATGCTTGCCGAATAAAGGTATTTGACAATCATATCTAGGATGTTGGGGTCAACATTATCTAGAACTACCTCCTTCTTTTTCTCTTCATTTTGCTCGGATAAGAAATACTCACGAAAATAAGGGCTACATGCCGACAGAATCAATCTGTGGCAAGGCAGGCTTCTGTCACCAGCTTTTAGAGAGCAATCTATAAACTTTTTCTCTTCGAGGAGTTCCTTGAGGCCGTCCTGAAGGAGGGTGGATTGGTAAAGTCTGAGCTCTTCAGTGAGTTCCCTTTGGGAATCCATTTTGCAAATACTTGGGAAAGGGGAGGGAGCAGAAAGCTTTAGCTGTTGTCTGCCCAAAGGTCCGTCTGTAAAAAAGGCAGACCAATGTGCTTTGCCCTGCCTGAAGCCTCTGCAACTTAATCTCGCTAGCTAAATATAGGTACATACTCTTACAGGTCGGAATTTAGGATGGATGGTTTGGAAAAAGAAGAGTTGCTCTTGCAGCTGTCAAAGACTGAAAGAAGCAACTGTTGCTTTTAGTCACTATGGTCAGGTTCTGCCATCATTCTCCACATTGAATCAGTGAGGTTACGTGCAATGTAAGAAATTATTTGACGTGAATAAGGACAGCAGAATTTGACCCTCAGTGAGACAGCCATGAGCAAGATTGTAAATATACGTTACCAAATATTCTGAAATAGAAATATTAATCAAGTTGTCAGCTGCAACCACTGCTCACTTTTTCAGTTGCTGAATACATCTTGTCGCTGCAGTCGTAAAGACATTGTAAAACTCCAGAACTTTGCATCAATTATCTATGCTCTAAGATTTATTTTTTTTACATACCCATATCACATCTGCAATTTCTTCAGCTATTGATAAGATGACTCTGAAATTCATTTTGAGCTTCTTCTTAATATCCATTTGGTTACATTTATTTGTAAACAAACCCCTGCTGTTTAGACATAAGTATACATTATTCAGGTAAAGTTCTGCTTTCAAAAATAATTTAAAATGAAGTCTCCACCCCCACGTAATAAACACCATTCTTCATTTCAGACAATCTGTAGACATTACCAATCCTTTTGAATTCAACTGTACTAGAAATGGTGTTAACTGCTGTTAAACTAAACCAAAACCAGTACATAGGAAAGGTAGAACAGAGAATGAAAAACATGTAATCCACCACATTAACTTTATTTAATGGATGTGTAATTTAAAAAACCTAAAAAAAAATCTGAATTTAAACTAAAAAAGCCCCAAATCAGACAAGTCGTTTGAAAAGTGAATGTGAATTTAGAAAAATTTTGCATACGTTGAAGGTTTCATAATTTAGACTGGGAACATTTAGATTTTTATTAAAGGTGGTAATACAGATCCAAAACAAATTTGAAATTTTAAGTTGTTTGATGTACCTTGATGAAGGACTGTATTTTGCCCATATAGAGAATGCTTTTTACCCGTATGGCAAAATGTTCTTTGAATGTAACGGAAACAGGATCAAAACACAACTATTTGAATGCAAGATCCACAACGAGGTATAACATTATCAAAGTTTATTGAAATCATGATTGCTTTTCAATATAGGTAGTATTCCATTAAAATGTATAGCTTGAAATATTTTCTACAAACACCACAATTATATTCACACCACAGTTACTTTACTGTAACAGTCAGCTGCTAAAACAACAGCTGAGAGGAGAGCTCATTTGACTTTTTCCACTTGTAGAAAATAGCGCGGAGGTCCTATCTCACTAGAAAACGTAACAGCTGCATCTTCCTTTAAACAATAAATGACTCATTTCTCTCTAACACATAACATCATAAAGGTCTAATGACTCAGACACAGAAGCTATTTGTGGGCGCACTTTTTTCTAGATCATTCCTTAAAAAACGTGCTCAGGCCAAAAAAAAAAGAAAAAAACTCTACGAGGATATCTGGATTACAATTAAGTACCTGGAATGATATGTGCCGAACATTTAACAAAATTATGAGACATGAAAACTAAAATTTGGAACAGTATTGCTTTTTGTCAGAGTTATCAGTAACACAGCACCACTGCAATGACACAGCCAATATGCCTAGATACAAACTGTTCTGCATATGATGGTGTTTCTATGTTGCACTGCACAACATTAAGCAAGTTACGGAAATTCGATTTAGATATAATCATTATGGGAAAGTACATCACCGTGTATAAATGCGTGAATACTTGAAAATGAGCATCCAACGACATACCACACGCTGCCCTATCTCAAACGGTGGTCCCCACGTACACAGCGAGAGGCGGCTTCCTTTTCTGACACACTTGCAGGTAAAACGGCAGGCGGTGGCTGGTCCTGACAGCCAAGCACAGGGCAGTATGTGAACACACGGGTCAGGAAGTTGTAAAAACACGGCCTACCTGCCATAAAACGCGGGCTGAGCCACCGTGGCAGAGCCTGTGTTGTCAGGGGAGGGGGCCTGCTCCTCTGACGACCTTCTGGGGGAAGGAGGACGGGGTGGCTGGTCCTGCCAGTCACACGCCTAAAAACCCCTGGGGTACGAGTGTGTTAAAACCCGCAGCCAGCCAATCACTAGGCAGTACGAAAACCTGGGGGGTGACATTTCACATCATGGCGGCTGGAATAAAATGGCAGCCACCGCGCACGCGGCGGGGAGGGACTCCCAGGTCCCTACGCGCCGCCAGGAAGGGAGGAGGGACTTCTCGCGTCCTTACGCCATGTGACCAGGGGAAGGGTGGGGCTTCTGGGGCTTGTGCAACACGTGACTGCCTGCAGGGGGCAGGGCTCCCACCAGCAGCTGGGGCCCCGCCCCTTCTTCCAGTAGGTGTTGGTTGTCCTCCCGCTACTTACAGAAACAATGTCACAAATAAAAAGCTTTTACACGTGCGAGGGTTTTGAATCATCTTTCTTTCAAGACGTATCCTGAGAGCACATTACCTAATATTTGCCCGCTCTTCAGCTTTGGCGTGTTGTTTCTCTGCTACTCTGGTATTTCTAAATTACCTCCTACAAATCCCACCAGCCCAGTAAGAACTGAGCGCCTTTCCTGGCGTAGGACACAAACGCGTGCCGGTGTAAATCAGGTCGTCACTTCCCAGAGTCCCTGGAGTGTGAATCCGTCCTTCAGCTTCTCTATCGCAAGTCCTAGTTCTTCTGAAAAAACAGGCTCCCCATCATGTTGCTTTTTTGAATGCACGAGATATGAGAATAAAAAAGCAGAATGTACTTTTTAATTTTATTATCCCATTTTAACAACACGAATTTGATAGTATGAAAAAGGATGTTCTTACCTTATTTTCATCAGCAAAGTAAGCCTGCAAAAGAAAGAAAAAAAGAACTCGCAACCTTGGGGAAAAAAAGAAGTCTAAAACCAAATCTGCTAATAATTCCTTGGGGTCGAAACTGTATTTGGTAAGTTTTCTTCAACAAACCAGTCTCCATGGTTTTTATTTTTGTTTTGTAAACAAGATCAGAGTTTTTTCTATGTTGAAATAATTTACAAAAGGGTTCTAACAAGAGTTGGCGATTATGTTCTTTTTCATTAAATACCAACCTTTGAATTCTCCATCGTAACAAACAAAGATTTTTAAAGAGTAAAATTTTCATATTACATTTGTTACACTGACAAATATAGGGAATAAAATGTTAACATGAAGGCAAACTGACAGCATCCTAGCATTTTCTGCCTCGCGTGCAGCAGCATTTATTACTAACTAAAATGTGTAAGTAATACAAGAATTCAGTTAACATCATACCCAATCTAAGAAACGAACACAGAGTAACTGAACAATTAACCAAATTTTTCTACTCTCAGACAGAGATCTGGGGAAGTGAGATAATCTTTCCCATTCTGTGTGTATGGAAACTAAGGCTCAAACTCTTCAGGAAATCAGACCTCTGAAAATATCCACAGCTCTAGAAGTCTCCGGACCAGCAGGCTCTCGATTTTCATGTTTACCAAAAAGGGCCTGATCTTGCTTCAGCTGCCCCTATGGACTGGCGAGGGGCAGCAAAGAAAGCGTTCTCCTGCTCAGCTGGATCTCAGGCTATACAAGACTCTACAGAACAGCATCCCAGTCGTCAGCTGTCATGGAATCTTGGTCTGGAGCCACTCCTGGGGTCCTGGATGATACATGTCTCCTATAGCAACCACCTAATCATTTACAGCTTCCAGTTTTTGTTTTAGAATATGCAAAGCACAGTTATTTAATCCAAATGACAAAGGCACCAATAGAGCAAACAATCTACCTTTAAGGAAAAGGTAGGTCTTCAACTATGTTGAAGACTGAATAAAAATGTGCAAAAATGAAAACAAAAAAAAGGCAAAAGGTGAGGAAAAAGGAGGGATAAGAGCTTGTCTGCATCAGTAAATGACACCAAAAGAAAAGAAGGTGGAAATAAGATTGGTGCTAGCACTGCTAATTTACCAAATTTCAGAGATGAATTAAGAAAACGTGTCAATTGTCAATGTGTCAAGGCTAGCACTTGAAAACATGTGCAGTCTACCTGCGCAGGCAATGATGCAGTCAGGTGTTACTGGGTTGCACAGTGAATTTGGAAATTCCTCGAAAGAAGGTCATCAAGCAACCTAACGTATTTAAAGGTAAATTTTCCTGAAATACTGGGAGACAGATACTAATACAGTTTTCCAAACTGGTATTGTCAGGAGTGCAAAGGTTGTCAGGAGTGACTCAAAATTATTGCTGCCTTTCTAAAAATCTTTCAAGTTTGAATCTTAGAAGAATGTTGAGCGTACAGATATCACCATCTATTAATCTGCTCCAAGAGAAGGAAGACTTGTTTCAATATAGTGTATTTGATTATATTATACTGCTGGTTTTCAAGCTATTCCTGATCTTAATGTGTTGAGAAACTACATACAACTGTTACTTTAAATACCTACTACTATTTATTTTGAATAATAGTTTGCTTCCTGTAGTAATCAGGATTTTGAATAAAAAGTCTGTAGGTGTGTTTTAGATATAGAAAGTTCAGTTGTAGCTTATCTTTAATAGAGGATTACAGCTGTACATTGCTTACAACATTTGAATAACCAAACAAGAATTATTTTATTTTTTAGTTTTCTATGGAGCAGCTTACCACAAAAGCATCCGTATGCTCATCAGATTCTATTTCCACATCATCTTGAACCTGCTCCACTGTTAGGTCTTCAAGAGGTTGAGGCTGCAAATTAAAATGTTGAAGTAAGTAAATCCACATATCTGATGGGTTTAATATATTTTTATTACTGCTGTTAACACAATATTGTATCTAATTTAAATTAAATGAGTGGAGTACCTTTTCTTCCATTTCATAATCCACTCCAAATATAGGGTTAGCTGAATAAACTCTGTGAAGTGAATTAATTTCTTTCACTGCCTCCTGTAGTTTCTCCGCAGGGTCTATTTTAAAACCAAGTACATATCCTCCACTCTATATAACAGAGAAAAAACATGTATATTTATTAGTGTTGCTTATTATTTAAACAACTTTTTCCCCTTGATAGGGATTTGCAGTTTAACGATAGCAAATTTCAGTTTGCTGACAAAACATTATCTGTATTTTGGTATTATCTTATTTTCATTCTGCCACTTAAACCATGGCTGAAATAAAAACAATGACAAAGTTTCTCTATGAGGTAAATGAGGTTTTAACTGTTAGCCCATTATATAAATGGGGAACAAACTTCTTACACAGAAAAACAAAAGCAAACAAGGGTGGGAGAAGTTCAGAAGTTGGTACTAATGATTTATTTCTAGCTACTCAGCAGATGTTTAGTCTGTTAGATCTTGATGTTGTTATTAAAGAAGCTTTCAGATACAGTAAATAAAGTTAGTTGAACTTTAAAAAAAAAAAAATCACCATTAAAAGCATTTCTCATTAAGGTGAAATTGAAGAAAAATAATTTTATCTCTTACAGCAAAACAGATACACAAGTGAAAAATATTAAAAATAGTGGCCTTAACTAAGTAGAGAAGTAATTAGATCCCAAAGATAATCTGTCAGAAGACACTGGGGTTTTTTTAACAGTTATTTTACTTTGTTTTAACTAGTCATGCTGGTCTATTGTTGCTTTGCTTAGAGAAATCATAACTCACAACAGCCATATTGACCTTAACATACAGACATTTTAAACACTGCAAAGAGGACTTTTTAAAAGTTGTGTTCAAAAGGCCACACAGAAGGAACACTCCAAGTACCTTAAAAGTAGCTCTGTAACATTTCAGAATTAGAGAACTATTATATATAAAAACGTAACCAATGAAAGAAGGCTGTTAAAGCTTCTTACCTGCTGAGAACTCTCTATCACAAGCGCCAAGCCAAACTTTGAGTCTCTTATTTTTATTGAACGCTAATGGTAAAGAGGTAAAAAACTGTGTTAAAAATTTTGGAATTACTTGTTAAAAATCTGCTTTATCTTTTTTTTTTTTTTTTAACTGTATTAATTACAATTACTGGTTTTGGAAGCTTGGATACCAGCATTCCCCCCCATTTACCATTACAAATCTGAACCCCTGAACCTCAGGGAAAAGTGTTTTTATTAGAAGTGGTAACAGTGGTTAACAGTTCATTTCTGAACATCAGGTTCACAGACCATTAATCCCAGTGTATATAGGTGGCATGAAGCATCATAGTAAACAGTTTGAAAATTGGAAATACAAGCTATTTTCAACATCTGTACCTGCCCATGAAAGCCCCCAATTAATCTGGACAGAAAAAAAAAAAATCTACCCTGTGGTTGATGCTGGTAAGACTAAATTCCTCCCTGACTGTGGGACATGAAATACTAATTTTGGTGAGCTGGGAGTTTTAACTGAAGACTTGAACTTACGCCATTTCATTTTGAAAATGGTTGGTTTAAGATACTTACAATTTGTAGATATGGTATGCTGACGTTAAAGCTGTCATTCATATTTGCATGCCAAACTATTCTCACGTTAGTAATAAAAAACGTTCCTAAATTTCCCTATTAAAAGAAGAGGTATGTTAGAACTGCTTTGAAGTACAGAGCCATTTTCCAAACACGATGATTACTGCTATCCATTTAAACACAAGCAGGATACAGCTTCATATTTAATTCAATAGAAGCCTGATTCTTTCCCACCAAAACCAGTCAAAATGCTTCTATTGATTGCAATGACGCCAAGATCCAATCTTTAAAGGATACAGCACCCGAGAGGTGAAAATAGCCGACAGTACCTATTACTGCAGCAAAGCAGGATCAAATTACAGCACAGCAGACCTCATGGGAGGACATGAAGGATCTGAGAGTGGTGTTCTTAACTGTACAATCTGGAATTGGCGTATAGCATAAGTATAATGGCACGTGGGTTAAACTTAGGCAATTGTGGAGATGTGTGCCAAGGGAATGTAGAGGAAAGAACTTTTTAGCTTGTCAGGATGGATCCTATTTCTATTCTGGACTAAAACTGCACAGACAGAAATAACAGCTCCCATTTTGTTTCATGGCCCTGGGAAATACTTGCTACCAATGCCCTGTAAAATAATAGAAACATTTTCTATTTTTTCCTTAAAGTCTTTATTTTTCCATGTTTTAAGACATAGATTCCTATTCCAGTATTTTCAATTTCCAGTAATTGAAAGACAATATAGTCTTACACTGTAGTCAAAGCTGCACGTAAACATACAAATATTCAGCAGAGCACTTTGGAAACAACATGATTGTCTTTCAGGATGATACAGAGCTTTAGACTCATAAATATATCTTTTTAACAGGAACTGTCTATCTAGTTCCTTGCATATTAGCTGAGTCACATAGACTTCAGGTTGCCAAAAAGCGACTTTCTTGTACTGAGTAGCAAATATATGGGATCAGCTTCTCCGCATGCATCAGCTAGTGAACTGAATTAACGGCAATTCCTTTGAGGTTATAAAACTGTAGTAGTACAATTGCTAGATGAAAGCCAAAACATTTAACTTTGCTGTAGTCAACGTAGTCTCATTTTTCACTATACCTGGTCACTTGATAAATTCCAAACTCCATTGATTTTATCATATATTTGTTCTTGTGGTAATAATCTCAGTTGCTTGTTTTGAATCAATGCACTTCTCAGCTTCAGATCACGATACATTTTAGAAGTTTCATAAGCTCTGCAAAATATAAAAAATATACGTTACCATTTCAGTGTTTTCTATTACCTTTACTGTTTGTTTTAGCACCAATATGAAATGTTGTGTATTTTCAACTTTTCTTATCACGTTGCACAAAAATGACAGTACTATTAAAACTTCATCAACGTAAACCATTATATTTCAGCTTTCTTTATTGAAGTTATCTTTAAAGTTTTTTTTTTTACATCGGTTTTGATCTCCTGTGTTGTTCATGTGTTTACTATTTCTTTCTTTTCCTTAAGATAGTCATCTCCCAGCCTCTATTGCAAAGCATAAGTCTTCTGGATCCCAGACTATGTATAACAATACATAGTATGGACATCAAGAATCCTTTATTTTTCAGTGCCGGCTAAGTCACAAACATCCAATATACGTACATCAGTGTTCCACAGCTCTTAAATAGAAACCTGTGGTAATGTATTATGTACACATTCATTCAGATGACTTATCTTTAGGTGTGAAACATCCACTGTTTTGTAGTCAATTAGAGTTTTGACCAGGATTTAACTCTTCATTTCCATTACATGGTCCAAAATTATGGGAAAGGATTATAGACAGAAATTATAGCTTGAAAATGCACACTGAGATTAGCTCTTTTGTACTTTTATTTGTTCAGATAGTTTCTACACACAAGATGTATAAACTGTGATCAATGACTGGTATTAATACACATTAATTTTCATTATGTACAGTTATCTACTAGAATCTACAAAAGGCCAATTGTACCCTGGGCTGCATCAAAAGAAGTGTCACCAGCAGGTCGAGGGAGGTGATTCTGCCCCTCTACTCTGCTCTGGTGAGACCCCACCTGGAGTACTGTGTCCAGCTCTGGAGCCCTCAGCGTAAGATAGGCACGGACCTGTTGGATTGGGTCCAGAGGAGGGTCTCAAAAATGATCAGGGGGATGGAACACCTCTCCTATGAAGACAGGCTGAGAGAGTTGGGGTTGTGCAGCGTAGAGAAGAGAAGGCGTTGGGGAGACCTTCTTGCAGCCTATCAGTACTGAAAGGGGGCTTATAAAAAAGATGGCGGCAAACTTTTTAGCAGGGCCTGTTGTGACAGGGCAAGGGGGAAGGGGGTAGATTGAGACTAGATGTAAGGAAGAAATTTTTTACGCTGAGGGTGGTGAAGCACTGGAACAGGTTGTCCAGAGAGGTGGTGGATGCCCCATCCCTGGAAACATTCAACGTCAGGTTGGACGGGGCTCTGAGCAACTTGATCTAGTTGAAAATGTTCCTGCTTATTGCATGGGGGTTGGACTGGATGACCTTTAGAGGTCCCTTCCAAGCCAAACTATTCTATGATTCCATGATTCTATGAATTTGTGATCATCCTCTCCCTTCCTCTCAGCGACTGTATTCTCCTCTTTTGGGAAAGTTTCCTGAATGTTAAATTTGGGCAGTTATATACCCGGTCCATCAGCAGTAGTAATCCCACATATTTGATTAATTGAATTTTGTAAATGAACAAACACTATTTTAAGTATGCTACCTGTGTACAGCAATAACTGAAGTGAAGAGTCTGGGACTCCCGGGGACAACATTGGTAAATATGAACTCAAACCGTGTATTGTTACATTTAGTCAATATATACAGAGCTTCTGTCTGCCCTCGTAATTTCTGTAAGGAAAAAATGAAATTTAACATTTTGACAATATAGTAGCTTGACTGTACAGGCAATAAATAATCTTGACATATTTTCTAAATAGTGTATCTGAAGGTGTAATCCTGATTCTACCACTGATCTACTGCTGTCTTCAACTGAACTCAGTTTTTTTGGAGAAACTAGCAGTTCCATCAACACTAGAACTAATGAAGCCTGCCCGCTATACATTTGCAATATCATGACTGAAACAGTATTTTTGGCTTTGTTACCATGTGGCTGCTCAGGGAACCTACATATCTCCTGGCTAGGTCTTTGCTGCAAGCCAAACAAATGGCTTCACAGTTGCATGCAATTCAGGCTACGTATTTGAGAGCTTTCTTGCACAAAATTAGTGCCTCTCTAGACCTTTGTGAAATTTAGACACAATGAGCCAACATGTGCTTGACTTACCTAGCGGGGAGAAGAATCACCAGTGTGATTACATGAGTTTTACTGCCTTAGGAAACTGACTAAAACCACACTCCTATAGAAATGTAAAACTCTCTCAACTTGTAAAACTGAACTTCCATTACTATTCTATTACTGTTCTTGCAAGTAAACTTTCAGATTATTGTTGATATAATGCAGTAAGTACAAACAATGAATTACAGCTCCTTTTATTCTTTTAAAAAGTATTTTTTGAAACTTACCGAGTTGGCAGTTCTTGTGGTTATATTTATAATGCAGTTGTAACCAACAGCTAAAAGTTAGGGGAGGAAAAAAAAAAAGAACAGTTTTGAGAACAAGAAAAAATAATAGTCAAAATTATGAAGCAATATTGAATTTTGTAGCACAGCTTTGGATGCTATTTGTGACAATTACACATTATGGTTAATGGTCTGGGCCCTCATCGCAAAATCAAAGACTAATTTAAGCTGGAAAGGACCTTGGGAGGTTGTCTGGTCCAATACTCTTCTCAAAGCAGGACCAACTCCATCTGGCTGCTCAGGGCACGTCCAGCTGAGTTTTGAATATTTCCAAAGAAGGAGATTCCACAACCACTCTGGGAGCCTGTTCCACTGTTTGACTGCCATCATTGTGAACGTTTTTTTCCTAATATCTAATCAGAATTTCCCTTGTTTCAGCGTTTAACTTCTGCCTCAAGAAGGTCTGTTTCATCATGATGTTGCCCATAAATTTTACCCTTATAAATAAAACTTTCTACATCAATATAATACTTTGTAGAAGAAGAGCTAAGGATATGACAAAGAAAAAAAGCAGCAAAATGTAAAGCATAAATGGAGAAGAAACAAAAAGAAGAGGATAAAACAGTTACAAATTTCACTTTGCCTCTTCTACAGTAGTGCTCTGATACAAAATAAAAACAGAAACAATCCCAGCCATTCTTCCTAAAACAAACAGATGCACTAAAATGGTGCTGGGCTAAATCTGAATGTCAATGACAGTCCTGCTGATACCAATAGCACAGCCAGGTTCCAAAAGAAAAAAAAATAATCAAAGGAGAACTAGAATTGTGGCAGCAGTTATGTAGATAAGAATATTCAGTCTTTATGGAATTAATACTTAAGAAAATACCAGAAAAAGACTATTTCCTAGGTTGCTTATGAGAAATTTTCTAAAACTAAAAGAAACAGCAATGGTCAAAAATGGCATCCAATAAAATATTATTTTTTGTCTATATATATTCCCTTAATGTAAGAAATAATGCATTATCTTGAAAGCTAGAGAGTATTTGAAGCTCTAAAAGCCATAGGTTAGACTTCCTTGAGCTTCTATAGGGCTGACCTACTCCATAAGCTTCTTTGTGATCTCCTCTAAAATATTCTATTCTAAAACTTAAATATACAAAGAAACAATTGTTTTTAATTTTATAAATACATATAAAAACAGCAGTGTGTGTGTGCACTTGTAGGTGTGTACATGTATGAGATAGCAAATGCAGAAAAGCAAGCAGACAGAGGGCATAAGTTTATATACATTATGAACAGAATACAGATTTTCAATACTGACTGGCTATTGGGAACTGAGCACTGGAAATAATATGGGTACAAAGTAAGTGCATCCTGCCCCTGTTTCAGCAAATGCAATTAAATATGACTAGACTTGCTAGCTACTCATACAGTTAAAATTAGAAGCTTCTTCAGAGCTTAAAACAGTAAATTTGGAAAGGCAGTTACTTGTGGGGAATAAAAACTGTAGGACAATACAGAATGTGAATAAACAGGTGGCAACAAGAAGTACAAGTAAAGCAAAGTGTGAAGAAACTCAAACTTTTGTTTCTTTCTAGAAAAACAAATGAATCCCACATAGGCCAAATGAAAAATATGTCTGAAGTACTCTTCAATTTATGTTCTGAGAAATTAACATTGAATATTAATATTTTGCTATGAATTATTGTAACAGTTCCTATATTACAAATAGATTCATTAGTAACAGTTTATTTCAGACTTTACAGAGCAACAGAACTATACTTCACTATTCTGTACTGTAATCAATACTATTGTAAAAGAACAGTATGCCACCACAAAGGAAACACAGAATTTGCAGTTGTTTAATAGGAGATGATACTTACAGAGATTGACTCTGGGCAATGACAATGAGCGCCAAATAATCCGCAGATTTGTCACAAGCAGTCTACCTGGAAATAAGGAGTGTAGATATTTTTAATCTGAATAACTTCTATTAAATTAAATGTTCCATTCTGTGGTACATATTCACCTCTAGTTTTGAAACACCAGAATATTCCTTCCCCTTGATAGGAAAAAGAAGAAAAGCACAGGACACCCCAGCAGAAAAATCACTGATCACTTTTTTTTGTTTTTGAATGCTAGGAGAGAAAATCCAGCAAGGAACAAATGAAAAATATATACCAGCATTCCTCAAAAACAAACCAAGAACAATTACTGATTTCACATCCACCTGCCTATGGTAAAAATGCGGAGACACAATCAGTGCAGAACTGCTCTGGGGAGGAGAAGGGGAAGGCAGCAAGTTAACTATCGCAGCTGCCTTCATGAATAACCTCACCCCTTTATGTCACATGCAAATTTCTTCGATTTTGTACCCTGTACAGCAACACATCCAACTCCAGGAAGGGTCATCTCGGAATGCTGGCAGCTTCGTGCCCTTGCACAAACACTATATATATCCCTTACTGATTCAGTTTAAATCAGGTTAGGAAAAACTAAGCATTAAACAGGATTACAGCAAAAGATCACCACAATGTTTATAAATAGATTATTCTTACAAGGCTTTCAATTCTAAACAAATTCTGAGACAAGATTATCACCTTCCTATAACTTTGAACAAGAGATCCTATTTGAAAATACTCCAAGGGGACACAGATCTGTGAAACAGGCAGGATCTATTTTCTGCAACAACCATTGATACAGAGTTCAATGGAAACCAGACAGGGCTTTCATGAACCTACACAGGATAAATATTAGAAAGTTTACAATTTCCCTGAGTATGCAGTTACCTCTGTCTCCATTGTTTCCTTTGGTATCTTCAACAGACTCTAAGCAGTCTATAAGGACCTCTCCAGGTCTCATTTTCATTTGTCTAAAAGAAAAGAAAAAAATTACCTAATGAAAAATAGATTAGATTTATCCTCCAAAAGAAGGCCATTTCTATTTCCCCACTTTGCTTTCCTTTCCCCTTTTTTTGCTTAGTGCATCATACAATGAAAAATCCACATATGCACACATACATACAAATCAACATTATATACCTGAAATTGTTGTCACTACATCTGGCATATGAAAAATGTTAATTCCTTTATTATTAAATTCTAACAATAAATAAATGTGTAGCAAATATGACCAAGCAAACTACACTCCAGAATAGGGAGAAAGTGTGTGAAAATGGGAGGGAAAAGCAAAAAAGTTGCATTCACATCAAATGAAATGGATAGAGTTTGTTGCCTCTTGCTGTACTTTTAGGTCATAAGGAGTGGAGCTAGGCTCAGGAAAGAATAGATGCCCTCAAAGGAAATATCAGATGTATACCAACACGTGAAATGTTCTGCTAGATTTTCCACAAAGGGTGTGGTTTGGGTTCGGGTTTTTTCGTATTTTGCTTGATTTAACTGGTCTAACCACTTAATTATATAACAACAGATGTGGTGTAAAATTTTGCTGTATTTTAATTGCATTGTGTAAAGTAGGCAAAACTCTTCAGTGTATTGGCATGACAAAAACAAAATGCATTATCAGAAGTGAAATTCCATGAGATACTACTGGAGATCAGGATCGAGACACTAGGTATGGCCTCAACAATACATCACCAGAACAGCACAAAAGATATTAGACAGGAGGTAGCAAGAATAGTAACATTAGCATTAAAGAAAATATGGAAGCAGGCTCTGTCTACATGACAATTCTAAAAGAAAATAACACAGAACTGCTTAAACATCCAAGATACAATTTCATGTTTCTAAAATTACTGCAGGCAGCATGCCTGAGGGACAAGGGGTGTTCTCAGTAGGGTCAACTGAGTAGGAGGGAGATGAAGCATGACAGTACACTTTCAGCCTCCACTCCCAAAATCCGCACCAACCAAGCTGCTAATTTGTAGCTCCATACTACAAAAGCTATGCAGGGTTTTGCCACAGAAACCAGAGCAGTTTTATGTCTCAGATAAGGCTGACAGCTCATCAGAGGTCAAGGCCCACGGGAGTGAGGAAGCACTGCCTCCGCGAGGATGCACCTGACAACCCTTCAGCTCTGGCCCCTCGGAGGCTGCACAGCCACTGCCCGTGTCCGTGAGCTCAGGCTGCCAACACCACGGCAGGGACGCCGAGTCCTTGTTACCAGTGACTGGTACTGTCCCCTCAGGCACACCTTAAGTTTGTTTTTACTTCTCAGCGACAGGTAACTCTACGGGCGGCTGGGAAAAGAACACCCTTCCCTCAGTCCTCCAGTGTGCAACCTTTTTTTTTTTTTTCTTTTGTTTTATATATTGGAAACGGTGACTAGACTCCACCTACCAAAAACTCCTCAGCCAGCCCGCCTGAGTCTCAACGGCCACACAAACCTTTTCCCGCTCTGTCAGGAAAACACGCTCCCCCCCCCCGCCGCCACACTGGGAAGGCTCCCGGCATGCACCGGGCCCCTAA